ATTACATTAAATCATTGTGTGATAACTATACATTCAGTATATAGCACATTTAGTTCTCAGATTTAGACAAGTATGCAAAAATGTATGTCACTGGCTATTGGCTATTAATCACTGCATGATTTATTTATTGAAGTACTATTATGTTGCTGGTATAATGAAGATGGTCTCCAGTAAGGTAATTACCATTACTATTACATTCCGAACACAGAATAGCATTACAGTTACCATTACTATACTTAGTTTGAATCACATTGATTGCAATTCACTAGCTCCTATGTACCTCCCTCTCTTTGTCCTTTTTGCTTCCTCTATTTACAGTATACCTCTCAATGCACCACCAAGCTCAGGATTTGAGAAGTCTTGCATTCAAGTAAGGTCAATTTATATTTTCTCTTTTTATGTTCTTTCCGTGTAGTCAAATTAAAGACATCAATATCAGGAGGACGTTGTGCATGTATAACAATCCATTAATTTTTGTTTTTGATTTTTCATCACGTTTTAATATAATGCTCAGTTGTACCAATCTTTGCGGCACTTTAAAGCAGTCCATGAGGTAATGCTATAAAAGTCAAAAGCTGTCTAAGCAGAATCCTTTCTATTGATCCAGGAATGGGGAATTTACCATACAGAGGTTGCATAATTTTTAATGATTTTTTAAAGTAAGGCCAGCAGTACAATCCTGATCGTTGTTTGGCATCAATAGGTAGGCATGCACAATTAGTTGTTATGAAAAATAAAAGTACTAGATTTGAATGAAGAAGTACAGAGATAATCAGCTAAACATACTTTCTGCATACTTAATAAGGGGGTGGGGCTGAAGGTTTTTAGCTGAAAACTCGAAGGTTTTACATCACAAGTCTCAAAAACTGCAATGATGTGCTTAATACAAAAATTAGCTAGTGCTACAGCAAGGTTGAAAGGTTTTTGCAACCAAATTTCATATTTTGAAAATTTTGACTAAAACTTGGTTTCAGACATAAAGTAACCATTTATTGATTTACAGGGCTTGAAAAGTAAATCAGCTACTTCTAAGACAAAATTTTTCTGACAATTGCATTTAACTTTAAACTTTGCTGTAGCACTAGCTAATTTTTGTATTAAGCACATCATTGCAGTTTTTGAGACTTGTGATGTAAAACCTTCGAGTTTTCAGCTAAAAACCTTCATCCCCACCCCCTTATTAAGTATGCAGAAAGTATGTTTAGCTGATTATCTCTGTACTTCTTCATTCAAATCTAGTACTTTTATTTTTCATAACAACTAATTGTGCATGCCTACCTATTGATGCCAAACAACGATCAGGATTGTACTGCTGGCCTTACTTTAAAAAATCATTAAAAATTATGCAACCTCTGTATGGTAAATTCCCCATTTCTGGATCAATGGAAAGGATTCTGCTTAGACAGCTTTTGACTTTTATAGCATTACCTCATGGACTGCTTTAAAGTGCCGCATAGATTGGTACAACTGAGCATTATATTAAAACGTGATGAAAAATCAAAAACAAAAATTAATGGATTGTTATACATGCACAACGTCCTCCTGATATTGATGTCTTTAATTTGACTACACGGAAAGAACATAAAAAGAGAAAATATAAATTGACCTTACTTGAATGCAAGACTTCTCAAATCCTGAGCTTGGTGGTGCATTGAGAGGTATACTGTAAATAGAGGAAGCAAAAAGGACAAAGAGAGGGAGGTACATAGGAGCTAGTGAATTGCAATCAATGTGATTCAAACTAAGTATAGTAATGGTAACTGTAATGCTATTCTGTGTTCGGAATGTAATAGTAATGGTAATTACCTTACTGGAGACCATCTTCATTATACCAGCAACATAATAGTACTTCAATAAATAAATCATGCAGTGATTAATAGCCAATAGCCAGTGACATACATTTTTGCATACTTGTCTAAATCTGAGAACTAAATGTGCCATATACTGAATGTATAGTTATCACACAATGATTTAATGTAATCAACCACATCACTGATGCATACTCCATAGAGAAGGGAGGACATAACAGTGAAGTGTAAAATAACAGAAGAGAGACTAAAGTGAGAGAGAGAGAGAGAAAGAGAGAAGAAGGAATAAAGGAAAGAGTCAGAGATGAGAATGATGTAGCAAAAAGAAAGATGGTGTAAATGGTAGAACAGTAAAGCTAGACTAGACTAGATTCAAAAAGATTACTTACTGAAGGAGGCACAAGTGAGTGAGAAAGTGAGAGATCAATAAATTAGGAGAGGGTATCGGTGTAGTGCATGT